TTTTTTTTTTTGAATTACATTTAATTTTTTGTTAATTATTCAAATTTATTAGTTTTGAACAGAAGAAATTTACAGAAATTTTGTATCACCATATCTCCACACAAAATACCAAACCAAAATGCTTGACGAAAATATTTATTGCACACTTGAAAATGTTAAGGAAAAGGAAGTTCTTAGGTATCATATCAGAGGTGTGAAAAATCATACAGAAAATTTATTTATTTTTCATTTAAAATTATTATTTCTTTAGTTTGGAACATTTCTTTATTTATTATTTGTGATGTTTTTTGAAATTTTTAATTTTGTTTGAAACTATTTCGTTGCGTTTATATGCTGTGTGGTCAAATCTTTCTATTTTAAACCACAACTGTATGAGAGAACCATACTTACCATTATATATTTACCTTTACAATATATAAATAGTAATGTTTATTTAATATATTAATAGTACAATGATAATACATCAGTCAATAAGTCGTGTAACTGACACCCGGATGGCGCTGCCATTATCAAATCCATATGAAGTTTATGAAGTACCAACCTTCAAAAGTCTATGTGTAAAATTTCATGACATTAGTTACTAGTAATCCGAAATAATATGATAACGGTTCAAGGAGTATAAGTCTCTCCGAAAAGATATTGTTTTAGTCCGTATACTTCATATTAATATTTTAAGGAGTCAGGTACAACATTCCGACGACGGTCAATTTGACGCTGCATAAAGTATTCCAGCTCCTCACCGCAAAAAAAAAGAAGTTCAAGGGTATATGAGCGTTTCGGAATTACCCTCTCGAGTTATATGGGTAAAATTTCAAAAATTTGCCTATATAAATTTTATATATACATATATAAGCCTACTCAGGTATGAATAGACAACTCCGATAAGTAAGAACATAGTTGCTCACAGTTTTTGTAAAACTTAAATCATTTATATATTAGCTATGATTTAACACCCATATCTTATAGGCACAATAGTTTTATACCTGGTATTTATGCTATCAATTTATTAAAAAATACTAGCTACTTCTTAGCATTGTATCTTAACTTCACTTACGTGAAACGTTTGAAAATACTGCATTCGGTAAAGCCTTTCCTCACATGTTAACTCAGTGCTGTACCAAGGACTATACCAATGACGGTATAATCCAAAAAAAAATGTTTGAAAACCAATTATTCAATTTTATTCCTTTTTTAATTTCACTTCTCTTCACTTTTAACTTCAATATATTTAAATGTTATTTATTTAAATTCACAATTCAAATTTTCAAATCTGATTCAATTATATATATTTATATTAAAGATATTGTCAATATTCTTTGTGTTGTTTCGAATGGCCCATTTGATATTTGCAAATAGTTTATATTCAATATTGAAGTCAGAAGTGGGGGCTCCAAAGAGAGAGTCTATAAAGAAAGAGTTTCAACTGCTTCAAGCCTTTAATTCCAGAAAAATAAAATCGTTTACTTCTTTTGCTAAGTGTCTTATCCACTTCGAATATTGTCTAATATGATTATTATGTTTGCTTTAATCATAGCTGATCGAAAAAGTGACCTTGTGTTTTTATTGAACCAATATCATAGCTTAATGTTATGATATCGTTCATCTGCTAAGAAGGCGTCTTGGCTAGGATATGAATAATTCGTCCTTGAAAGAATAATGTGGTGGAGCAAAATTATTGTACCACTATTTCAATATTTTAAAGGATTTGACTTATTGCCAAAAGTTTAAGTAAGTTTATCAATGTAATCTCATCTTTATAATCTACATTAAAAATTTAAATAAGTACAGATCACATTTCTTCACTAAATTCTATTTATTCTAACGAGACTGCATAAACCATTTTTATTGTATTAAAAGGAAGTTTGTCGAATATTGTCTACTAAATGATCCTTTCCATTTAGTCTCCTTACTTCTGACACAAACATTTTCAGTCTTTCATCGTTATGCTATTCAACTGGAAGAAGTTATATTGTTAAATAATCTATTGGTTTTAAATGGATTTAAATCAGTCGCGTTTAAGCCTTACTGGATCACTAGGAATACCGTTATGCCCAAATTGTACATATCTCCGTATTTACATTTTCAAGACACACACAAGTAGAATACACTTTTCTCTACTATACCATCGTTCTCCACTGACGTCTCCTTGTGTTTTTGATAGTAAGTTTCATGAGATATGCTCTCCAAAAATGTTCGCGTATATCATTTACCGATACTCTTTTATTCTAAATAACTAATATCTTTACACCCATAACTTATTAATAAATAAATAGTGCTAAATAATGAAATAAAAGCGCTGGTTATTTGCTTTAAATTTGATTAGTTCAAACTTCTAAGCCCAGCACTTCTGATCCATCAATTATATAAAGCTTATAAAACCAGTGAGTAATGAGATTTTTCAGCACTCAATACAGCTTCTAAATAAGTTCAAATTCAGAAAATTAAATATAATAATTCTTAGCGCTTTTTTTAAATAAAAAATAAAAAATATTATATATTGGTCAGACCCAAAAAAATTCAATTAATTAAATATAAAAATTCTTTACTCTTAAAAAAAAATTTAATATATTTT